TTGGGTAGGATTATGAGCGGCGGCGCTCATAGTCCTACAAGATGTAGGATTGCGAGCGCTACTGCTCGCAATCGGAGGCATGTTGCTAGGATTGCGAGCAGTGCTGCTCGCAATCCTAGACTTTGCTCGGATTGCGAGCGCGCTGGTAGTAGTCGTAGGCGTCACCAGTCACCTTGGGAGCGGAGCTGCTCTTAGTCCTAGAAGATGTAGGATTGCGAGCGTGGGTGCTAGCAATCGCACAGAGATGCTACGATTGCGAGGAGTGCTGCTCACAATCCTTCGACTTCTAGGATTGAGAGCGAGGCTGCTCTCAATCCTTCCGGTCTAGAAAAGAAGGTTCACCTGGAGTGACACTATGGATTTCGGGTGACACAGGTTGACCGTGCTCGAACAGGGGTCAGCGGCGGCGGCGGGAGGGAGGGATTTTCCCGACCTTGTTCCGACTCTGGTCCGACCCTGATCCGACCGTGTTCGAGGTGTTACTGATCCGAGACCTGAGAGGTCTGTACTCGTACTCGAGTAGAGAGGTCGGATCAGGGTCGGAAAGGGTCAGAGTCCTACCAGCATTGCACATGCGCGCTGTGCCCAGGTCTATGCTCGCCAGCGTCCTCTTCGCTGCTGTCCGGCCGCCACGCGCCCTCTTCTCCGCGTCGCTCCTGCGGCCACGCGCTTTCGCCGCGCCGCTCGCGTGCGCCACGGCACAGGCGGAAGCGCTCCTCGGCCCGCGGCTCCGGAAATGGCTGGGTAGCTCGCTCGAGGCCGAGCGGCGCAAGCAGATCGCGCTCGCCAAGGAGGCGGAGGCGGCGCGCAGCGCTGAGCGGCTCGCCGAGTGGGCCACTCTCGTCGTTGCCAACTTGTGGCAGATCGACGACCGCGCGACGTCCGCTGTCGTCGAGGACTGGAACAATGGCGGCGCAAAGGTGAAGCTCAGCTTTGCTGGCGGCCAGGGCACGCCGCGGGAGCAGGCGGACGCGGCGTTTGCCAAGGCGCGCCGCTTGCGCCGCGGCTCGGCCGTTGTCGCCGAGCTGATTCGGCAGAGCGAGGCCGTGGAGGCGCGGCTGCAGGGCTGGCAGGCGCGGCTGGCCGACGGCGGCGGCGGCGCAGAGGACGAGGAGCTCTTCGCGCTTCGTGCCGAGGTGCTCAAGGAGGCGAAGAAGCTCAAGCTCAAGGTCTCCGGCCTAGAGGGGGCGGCGGCGGCGGCGGGCGGCAGACTCCCTCGCGGCAAGAGGAGCGCGACGCAGCCGGCGCCGCTCGCTCCGTCCCAGACGTCGGGCTGGGGCGGCCGCGAGTTTGTCTCGCCGGCGGGTGTGCCAATCCTGGTGGGGCGCAACCGCAAGGAGAATGAGCAGCTCTCGCTTCGCGTGGCGCGCGAGCCGGACGTGTGGATGCACGTGCGAGGCGTCCCGGGGGCGCACGTGCTGCTGCAGATGTCGCGCGTGAAGGGCAAGGCGCCGCCGGCGGAGGCGTGCCTCCAGATGGCGGCGGACCTGGCCGCCTTCTACTCCGAGGCGCGGGACGAGAGGAAGGCGCTCGTGACGTACGCGAGCCCGCGCCACGTCACCAAGCCCAACGGCGCGCCGCTCGGGGCGGTCAAGCTGCGCGAGGAGGGAGGGACGATCGTCGGGCGGCCAGTCGACTCGGAGCTGATCCCGCCCGAGGTGCTGGGCGCCAGGGAGGCAGAGAGGTTCGGCGGAAAGGGCTAAGACGGGTAGGCGCCGCGGGGCGGAAATTGCCCTCCTCTGGAGAGACGACAGACAACGTATGTCACATTTAATCCGATCGTATGTCGCGTCCAGTATACACAGTCGGTACTGTATATCGTGAAAAGATATCGTCGAGGTGTGCGGGATGGACGGGAAGGGGACGGAAGAGGTTCCGTTTGCTTATATTATAACTTATAATTCATTTTAGAACGCGGGAGAAAGCGCAGGCCGTGACCCGCGTCAGAGAAGACACACACACGGACTCAGTCGCCCTCACCGGCCGCGCACGACGGAGCCGATCCCGAGCATGAAGGCCATGAAGCCCGCCGCGCCGCCAACCTGCGATCGAGGCGGCATGCGACCCACCTACAGACCACCGGTGGCTTGGAGGAGAGCGTGGTGTGGCGGACTGGCAGTCACGCTCTACCAAGTCGCCTGGAGCATACTGTGCATCACAACGCCGCCGGCACCCATGCACGCGCCCATGCCTGCACTGAGAAGCAGCGTCTTGAGCGCCATCTGTGCAGCCGCCTGCAAGCGGCCTCCTGGATCGCTCGCGCGCCTCGAACAGAAAAAGAATTTTCGTCCCCCCAAGACGACGGCTTCCCTTGGGGTTGCTGTTTCTCCTTCTTTCTTTTCCTTAGAACAGAAAGAGAATTTAAGGACGTTAGTCCCGGAAAGAAAAAGAACCCATTCAACTAGTTTGTTCTTCCTCGACACCAGTCCATACGTACCGTCATACAGCGTGGCGCGTGCTCCGCAGCAGGCCTGGCCTCGACTCAGCTCTCAGGCGCTGCGGCTGCGGCGGTGGCGTCGGCTGCGGCGCCGTCCTCGGGCGGCGCAAAGTTCCAGAAACGGATCGTGCCGTCGTCGCCGGCGGAGGCGTAGGCCTTGCCGTCGGGGGTGAAGCGGACGCCTGCCGGAGGGGGGTGCGGGAGGCGTCTCCCAAGCGTGTCTCGGAGGTGGTGACTCGCCCGCTAGTCGGCTGGGAGCGAGCGAGAGGCGACTGGCGGCCGCACCGTAGACGGGGCCGTGGTGGCCCTTGTTGCACGCGAGCTCCTCGCCCGTCTCAAAGTCGTGCTGGTAGACCCAAAAGTTGCCACCGCCCGCCACGAAGGCCTTGCGGTTCGGGTGCAGCGAAGCCGAGTTGACGCCGTACCCGTTCGCCGCGATTACGCCCAGCGAGAAGCGCTTGAGGCACTGCCACGACGTCAGGTCCCAAAACGACACCTCGGTGCCAGCCGCGACCGTCATGATCCGCCCGTCCGCCGTCAGCTCCACCTACACGAGGCAGCCGCGCGGCGTCTCGGGATGGGCACCCGCAGGCGTCCCCGCCCCCGACCGCCGCCCCGCCGAGTTGACGGAGCCGCTGAACTCGATCTCGCGCTGCGTGCTGCCGGTGCGGAGGTCCCACAAGCGCATCGTCTTGTCCTCGCCCGCGGAGAGCAGCGTCTGCCGGTCGCCGATGAAGTGGCACACCTAGAGGAGGTCGAGGAGGGCTCCCGCTCTCCTCCCCGAGGCCTCGGGCCGGGCGGCGAGGGCAAAAGACACCTTGACGCAGGCGGTGTGCCCCTGCAGCAGGAGTGGGTCGGCGGGCGCAGCCTCGCCGAGCTCGAAGAGGCGCAGGTGCTTCTCCTTGCCGCCCGTCACGAAGCGCGTCGAGTCGGGCGCCCAGCCGGCGCACCTCACGACGTGCTTGTGCTGCAGAGTGTAGAGCTCGTCACCCGTCAGCGCGTCCCACACCTTTGCTGAGAAGTCGGCCGAGCAGGTGACGGCGTGCGTCGCCGGCGGGTTGAGCGCCGCCCCCCATACCGCGCCCTTGTGCCCTTCCAGCGTCCCGATCCAGTCACCCGTCTCTCCCGAGCGGATCATCGCTGTCTTGTCGTGGCACGCGGAGATGAGAAAGACGCCGTCCTCGGTCTCGCGCGAGAACTCGATGCCCGCTACCGGCCGAGAGTGGCCGGGGCAGATGAGCGGCCCCTGCTCCTGCGGCATATTTCCCTCGCTTGCGCTTTAGGCGCTTGCCTCCGGCCTCTCACCCAGGCCTTGCGCCAAAACGCTGCTGGGTTCCGACCTTTGCGCGGTGAGGGCGGCGTCATAGGTAGGGTAGGTCTGCGCCCTCCCGTCGGGGTTTTCCCTCTTTTCACGCCGGAATTTCCACAGCATAAAAAGAAATTTTCCGAAACGATCACGATGTCAACCCTCCCCAAGTGAGGTTGTAGCTTGTAGGTATATTGTTGGCAAATCAAGACACAGAGCTCACACAGTGAGGTGATCTGGTGCTTGTTTGTAGGGCTTGAGAGTGGCCTGCCATGTCACAGGAAGGACTATGGTTGCAGGAGAGTACCACCGGCCATCACTTAGTTGGTATGTAAAAAGAAAGAAAAAAGCCAGGGGAGGGATGGATGGGAGGACGGCACGCCGCCACCACACAGGGATTTTAAACCCCCCACGCGCCCCCGGGCCCGGCGCCGTGACAGCAGGGAAGAGCGGCCGCAGATCCCGAACAGGTTGAGTGCAGCGCCGGATACCGCGGCGGCAGCATCGCTGGGGCCTGCTGAAGCCGCTGTCGATGCAATGCGAGCCTAACGAGAAGCGAGGCTCTTGTGCACATGAAAAGGGCCGTCAGGCCGCGTCCGGCTTGAGGCAGCCGCCTCAGCACCCATACTGGCCAGTGCCGTGCACTTGCGGTCCATCTCGTCGGTCATGGCGACTACGATGGCCGGGCGGGGGGCACTTGAGCGTCACGCTCAAGCGGCAGTCCGGCAGTCCTACCGCCTGCGTGCGCGCGATTGGTGGCGTGCGACCGGTGCGCAGGGCTAGCCGGTCGGGTGGTCAATGATATTCTCGCCTGCGGCGAGCAGAAGCGCAAGCACGCGCGAGAGCGAGCTGGTTATCAGTGGCCGTGGGCGGGCGCGCCATAAAGCGGCTTTGAGCGAAACCGGTGAGAGTACCCGACGTGTTTGGGAGCGGTGCAGTTCATATGAAACTGCGCACCGCTCCCGTGCACCGCTCCCGTGCGCAATTAGGACTTTAGGAGCGGGCGGCGGGGGTGGGCCAGGTGGCGTGCTCCCTCTAATGGGGGTGGCGTTCCCACGGGGGCTGCCTTCCCACTACCTGGCCTTCCTAGGATGTCGCCCTAAGGCTAGCTTTCAGGGGTGGGGGGTATGGTCCCTCGGCCCCGCCGACTACTGCCTCCGAGCCCGCAGCGCCGTGCGGGTGCCGCGCCCGCGCCCGCCGCTCGCCCCTGGCGATTGCCAACTTCGTTCGCCGCCGCCGCGCTCACGCGCTCTAGTGACTAGTCTCTAGTGTCAGACGAGCACCGGTGGCAGCACTGGCGTGGCGGCGGCATCCGCGCGTATCTAGTGTGCGTGTCGGTGTCTGCATCCTCCCAGAGCCTACAAGTAAGTAGCAGTAAGGCGGCGCGGCGGTGGGGAGATATGGTCCTGTCGGCTGGACGGCTGGATGGAGGCCTGGTCTGTCAGAGATGGGGGGGCAGGGTGGTCTGGAGGAGGGTTGGCCGATGCTACCATACCTTACCCCCCAAAATGTCCAAATCCTGGCGTATGGGTTTGCTAAGACAAAAAGATTTGTGCCAGAGAGAGGGGACTCCCTGGGACCCTGTTGTTGTTGTCCCTGTCGTGTGGGTGGGTGAACCTAGGGGTGAACCCTGCCCAGCCCCTCTCCGTATCGCGTAGGTTGCGCTCCGGCTCTCCCTCCGTTTCTTCGATCGCGCGTTCCGCGTTCCCCTGTGCCCCTGTCCCTGTGCCTGATCGTCCTGGTTACGTCCTTGCCAAGATCCTTGCTCTGCAAGTTAGGGACCCAGTGTTTTCCTCGTTTGGCGTGTCCGTTTTCTTTCCTGGAGGAAAGAGCGTATTGCAATAAGTCGGAAGGCACACTGACTGGACTCTGGGTGAGTCTCACTCAGCAAGGTGTCTGACTGAACGAACGAACGTGTGAGACGTCCTAGCTAGGTGCTAGGAGACGTCTCTCCAACCAACCAAGAACGCCTGGCACAACGCGCAGATCTGGACTGGCGCTAGCACGACGAAAAAGAAAGAAAGAAAACGGAGAACCCAAGGGAGGGATGGGAGGACGGCACGCCGCCACCACACAGGGATTTTAAGGAGAGGGGTGTGGTGCGCTAGCCGTCGCCCACCCTTGGGCGTCCTAGCACGACGAACGTCAGCACACCACCACGCAAGAATCTTCTCTGCTTTAGTTCACCCTCTATCTATGCAAACCCGGCGGTCGCAAGTTTTGAGAGCGCCGGGCCCCTGCAACAATCGCGACGTAGGCGAGCGCCGCGCGCGAGAGAGACGGCGAGGTCTGAGGAGGTAAGCACACGTGTTTGCTCATTCTGCCCGGCTAGAGAGACCTCTCGGCGCCATGGCAAATCGAGGGCTTCCACTCCTGCTCGTCCTCCAGATCGTCCATTCTGCGGCGGCGACAGCGGCCGCCCCCGGCCACAAGCGGCTCGGTACCGTGCTAAATCACGGCCCAGCGGCAGCGCCGCCGTCATCATCGTCTCCCTTTGCCAGCGCGAATGCGGCGAGCGCCGCCGAGTCTGCGCCCGCCGCATCCAACGCGGTGACCGCCAATGCACCGGAGGCGCCCATCTTTGCGTATGCCGCGTTTGACAAGGTTGGTGCGACGACATTCCGCACGATCCTGAGCGCACGCGAGCGCCTCCACAACCGCTCGTACCTCTGCGACCCGTGGTTCGCCCGCCACCGAGGCGGCTGCCGAGACGTGCCGGGAGAGGTGTCGCAGCTAGAGCACCCGCGCCGCTAGCAAAGAGCTCTCAGAGAGCCCTCGCCACGTGAGGCCCGCCGGGACGACTCGCTCCGTCCCCAGCCGTGCCAGCCGTCCGGAGCCTTACACGCCACAGGCGGTGGTGAACGTCGGCGCCGACCGCGGCTTCGACTTTTGCGAGCGGCAGGGCCGGCCGTGCAGGTACTTTACGCTGCTGCGCCACCCACTCGAGCGCATCCGCTCTGCGCACGCCTACTTTTGCGTCGCCTGCTCGGAGCACCACCGGCAGTGCGGCGGGCACGACGTGCATCAGTGGGGCGGGCGGCTCTCCTGCCCCAACATGAGCCTCGCCGCTTACGCGCGCACCGTCGGCTCGGTCTACACGCGCGCCTTCGCGCCCAAGGAGCCGTCAGAGCGGGCAGAGGAGAAGCTGGAGACGGTCCACGCCGAGATCGCCTCGCTCACGCGGCTCGATGCAGCGACCGTGCGCGAGATTGTCCGGACGAGCTGCCACAACCGGCGCGACGGGGGCGTGCCGCGAGGCGCAGGACGATGGGCCCGCTCCTGACCTTGGGACGGCGCCCTGAGCAGGCGCGACGAGGCGTACCGGGCCCTCGACCAATTCCAGGAGGGAACCGGCCCCTTTGTGCAGGCGACGGCGCTCACCAACGCGCGGAGCAAGGAGCGGCTCCGCCGCATCGACGCTGCGGAGAGGTGCGGTCAAGCGCATACCCCTGCAGCAGGCCCGGCCCTGGCCTGCGCCCCCGAGTTCACCCCGCCCCGCCCCAGGTACCTCAAGAGCATCTGCACGCTCGTGCTGGAGCCGGCCGAGCCGCCGCGGCCGACGATCGTGCAGCAGCTGGCGCGTTGGATGGGCGACCCGCTCTTTGAGAGCAAAATCTCGCTGGTGCAGCGGGGGAGGGCCTCGCACGCCGAGCGGCAGGCGCGCGAGGCGCCGCAGTCCGTGTCGGACGCGCTGATGGAGGACATCGAGCTGTACCGCCGCATGAAGCACTGGGCGGACCGCGGCGAGGCGTGCACCGAGGGACGAGGAGGGGGCGCGCGCCGAGTACCGGGCCCGTGACTGACGCCGTATATAGCATAGCTAACGGAGGCTTGCCCTCAGCCAGGGTTGGGGACGGTGGGTGAGTACGATCGTGGTGGAATGGCGGGCGACTCGCTCGGAAGTTTCACCTCTAAACGAGTGGTGCGCTCTGCTCCCCCCGGCCTCTAACAGGCGCCTCCCGACGCGCGACGCGCCGACGCCGACGGGGACGCCACCACCCTCCGCCCCAGCGCCAGCCTCGCCCACAGAGGCGCCAGGGGAATGTAACGGTCTCAAAGGCGCGAGGCCCTAAAAGCTCTCGGCGCCGAGGAACCACAACACAAATCTGCCTACAAAAAAAGAAAGATAGATAGAAAGAAAACAGACAACCCAAGGGAGGGATGGGAGGACGGCACGCCGCCACCACACAGGGATTTTAAGGAGAGGTGTGTGGTGCGCTATCCGTCGCCCACCCTAGGGAGTCTGCCTCTTCCTATCTCTCTTCGCAGTCTCTCGCTGATTCTCGCTGCAACCTTCATGCCACCACGCGGTCGTCCCACCCTCGTCGTTCTCTCCCTTGTCACTTCCTCCTCCGTCGCGTTGTTCTCTTCTGCCCCGTCCTGCGACGCCGCCGCCTGCCGGTCCCTTGTTCTCGCGGCTTCTTTCGCCTGTCGGCGCTACAAAAAAAGAGAAAGGCAGCTCGATTCCCATGATTTCTTTTACGTGGTGTCCCGATAGCGCCATCGACGGCACACTAGACACGGCTCCCCCGGACAGGTGGTGTGCAGCGCACGACCCGCTCCACCTAGCGCCATCTCGTGCCGGCACCACTCCTCAACCATGGCTCGCGAGCCTAAGCAGCGCCGCAGCCGCTTCATCGTATGTGCCACCCTCTTCTCCGCGGTGATGGCGCTGCACGTGCTGCTGTCAGTCTTTGTGGGCATGTCCGAGACCTCGTCCCGCAGCCGGAGGACCAAGGGCTACCTGCGCGGCGGCATCCCGCTCCCGCTCATCGAGGACGTCGACCCGGGCTTCGGAGGCGCCGCCTCTGCAGACGACCAGGCGGCGGTGCTCGAGGAGTCGCTCGCGCTGAGCGAGGAGGTGGCCGCCGTTCTCGCGAGCGGCGACGCGGCCAACTCTCGGAACCAAAGCGACTCTACGGCGGCGCCTCCGGACGCCACCAAGCTGCGCGCCCACGAGGCGCGCGAAGAGGCGCTCGCCGGCAAGGAGAAGGCAGAGGCCGCCTCGGACGCCGCCGACTCTGCCGGCCTAGAGGCGGACGCCGCGGCGCTGCACGCGTCGTGCGGCGACGGCGGCCCCTTCCCGTGCCACGAGCGCGGCTGCCCGCGCTCGAGCGTGACGTGCAAGGACCTCGTCCTCTCCTGCGAGAAGACCTTCGACAAGGTGTTTGACAAGCCGCCCACCCGCGCCCTTGCGCACTTTGCCGTGGGCGAGATCTGCCCGCGCACCTGCCGCCGCTGCGGCTCCTTCAACGTGTCGCGGGAGGAGGTGCTGCGGAGCCAGGCGGCCGCCGGCCCCGTCGGGCAGATGGTGAGTGCGCTCGACAACTGCACCGCCGGCGCGAGCGACGAGTGCGCCGGCGGCCGGGGCGTGTGGGGCCGCATCTGGGAGCTGGCGCCGCCCGTCGGAGAGAACACGGCCTACCGCCCGCCGCACGACCTCGCCGGCTACAAGGCGCTCACCGACGGCACCTCCCACTCGGACCTGCCGCCGCGCGACGAGAAGGGCTGCCTCCGCTACTTCCGCGTCGGAGACCGCGGCGACATGCGCGGGACGGCGCGGCCGGCCGGGCTGCCTCAGCAGAGGCCTGTGGACTCGTCCGTGACGCGTCCGTGACAAGTGCCAGGTGCGGCCGATGCTGCGCGAGCTGGGCATGTGCGAGTCCAAGGAGGAGGTCGGCTTCACCTTCCTCTGGTCGCGGCCGTGGGAGAAGATCGAGGCCTTCTTCCGGCCAAAGAAGATCACGCCCGGATCGATCGTCAACTCGATCGCCGGCCTGCCGCAGCAGGTGGGGCAGAAGACGTCGCTCGCGCGGCTGCACGTGGCGTGCATGACGCGCGCGGGGTACGATCCGCTCGATGTGATCCCGAAGCGCGGCCCTTTCTGCCGCTTCACGTCGCGCGCTTTCGCGGTGCGCAAGATGGGCTCGAAGCTGCAGCTGCCGTACCGCCGCTTCCGCGAGTACAACGTGCAGCTCAACGAGGAGGAGCCCGAGGAGCACCGGATCTGGATCCTCAAGCCGCAGGGGGGCTTCAACCAGGTCGGCATCCACATGTACTCCCTCGCCACCGCCGACATCGCGAGCGACAGCGCCACCGCCGCGTGGCTCATGCAGCGCGTGCCCGAGGGGACGTGGGTGCTGCAAGAGTACCTGATGAACCCGATGACCTACCAGGGGCACAAGTTTGACCTGCGCGTCTGGGCGAGCCCCCTCCCCTCGCGCCGACGCCGCCCCTGCGCACCCCTCCCCCACCCCGCCGCCCGCCTCGCCCTCGAGCGCGCCTCGCCTCGAGCTCCGGTGTCTGAGCGCCTCGCCTGCGGCGCAGGCGCTCGTCACGTCGCTCGACCCTCTCCGCGTCTACCTCCTCGGCACCGGCATCCCGAAGGTGTCGCAGTGGAACTACTCAAAGGCGGTCGAGGACGTCAAGGAGCCGTGCATCCACGTCCTGATGCCCGGCACCAACGAGTGCTTCCAAAACAAGCGCGCCAACGTCCTCACGCCGTACCCCACGCGCACAAACACGCAAGAGTGGTTCGACAAGGCTCGCCTCCGGCGCACGCCGCGGGCTCTCCGCCCTGTGCGCCGCCCGCCCACGCCCGCCCGGGTGCGCCACTAGGTCATCCCGAGCGGCAGGGACTTTTGGACGCAGCGGGCGTGGCCGTCGGTCGAGTGGCGCGTCGTCGAGCTGCTCGTGCTCGCGCGGGACGCCATCCTGCACGTCGATCACCAGCTCAAGCGGAACGGGCTGCGGTACAAGCGCGTCTTCTTCCTCTCGCCCGACATCCTGATCGACCAGCACGGCCAGGCGACCATGGTCGAGGTGAACGTCAACGGCTACATGATCGGCAACCTGCACAAGTCCTTCTTCCCGCTGCACGAGGAGCAGCGCGCCGTCTTCCGCCTGATGGGCGGCAACGGCTTCCCCAAGCAGCACAAGTACGCCGCGGCGCTCGAGCAGCAGACGGCGGCCTTCTGCAAGCGCAGAAAGGCAAAGTGCACGCCGGCGGCCGAGCGCGAGATCTGGGAGATGGTGCACGAGGACATGCATTGCGCCATGGCGTGGTGCCGCCTCTCCCTCCCTCCCGGCGCTTGCGAGCGTTGCCGCGGGCTGAGCGCCTCGGTGCGCTGCGCTCGCAGGTACCGCATCTTCCCGACGGGGGAGGACCGGCCTCACACCGCCCGCCTCAAGGGCTCGCCCAGCTACCAGCGCTCCTTCACCTTCCTCGACGGCGCTCGACGGGGTCGCGCAGCTCGGCGCCGCCCGCAGCGTCTCCGACCGTCACCTCGCTCTCCTGTAGGGGTCATGTTTGACTGGCTGCAGCACGGCTGGGCGCCGCTGCACCAACTCGACCAGAATCGCTCAGTGGTCGTCGCACAGACACCGCCGAGCGCGGATTTGCCGCCGCCGAAGGCAAGGGCTAAACCGCGCCAGCAGAAGCCCGCCAGCGCCGCCAAGATCCCCGAGGCGCACTTGAACACGATGCACCGGATGCCGGCGGGGTTGGCGCCCGCGGGCGGTGACGCGAGCGCGGACGATGAGCTGGCGGTGCTGCGCGCGCGCATTGCTGAGCTGGAGAGAAAAGGGCAGGCTGAGGCGGGCCGGGGACGATGATTATTTATTGGAGTCTCAATGTCGGGTTGTCAGACGACTCAGCGGCTGTTGTTCTTCGCACAGCACCAACTGTCGGCTTTTTATATGGATTATGGTACGTCAGTTTCTGGAGGGCGGATTTTCTGACGCCAGCGAGGACAAAAAAATCCCTAAGAAGCAAGATCGTGGCAGGGCGGGTATCCTTGATTCCGCTTTCTCCCGCGCCAGCGCGCCCAGTGTCGTGCGAGGAAGCTTTATCGCGTACTTGTAATTCTCCCGCGAAACAAAAAGCGACGGAATCTTGAATCTGAAAAGCAGCGCGCGTCCAACCCACGCACGGCGTGGTGTATGTCGACGCCGTGCAGCAGTAGCAAAGGGCAAGGCGACCCATACGCGGAGCTGAGAGCACTGCACTTGCAGATCGCGGAGCTGCTGACTCGCCTACCCTCTGCAGCTGAAGACCGCCGCGTTCCTGTTGGACATCGAGATCGTAGTTCGGTAGCCTCCAGTGCCGGTGCCGGCTTGCAACGTCATCAACGGCCCACCTTATCTTTGCCACCTCCACGTGTCGCGAGGCCAAGCGCGGAGTACCTTCGCAGTGTCAGGGGAATCCCACGCGCACGCCGCGGCGAGGCAGTGGCACGCACGGAGGTCGAGCTGACAGCAACTCGGGACATCGCGGCAGGAAGGCGTGGGCGCAGCGGTGCGAACGGCGGCAATGGCGGCGACGAAGGTGGCGGCGGCGAGGGCGAGCCAGTAGTACTCGAGAACCCGATCGAGGATCTCGGGCCGACGTGGCTGCTTGCGCGGTGCAGCGCTTGCGCCTGCATGTGCTGCGTAGACTGCGTTTGGATTGACATCCTCTGGTCTTCGATTTCTGGAGTCCCTCGCACTTGGCGGGAGCCTCTGGAACAGCCGTGATGAGCACTCCTATAGGCTTGTCGCCCTCGGCCTCGCCAATGTTTGTTGGTTTGCCGCCTTCACCGCTGCAGACGTCCGCCATTCTTCTCTAGCGGTCGGGGCGCTACTTGCTTTCTAGTCCTGATCCCGTCGCGCTCCTCGTGGTCGACGCAGGTGGTCAACTTTCACCGCCACGTGCCGGGAGACCCATACTGGCAGGCGGTCCGTGTCAACGAAAATCTCGGGCTCGAGCAGCTCCAGGTTAGCGGCCACCGCGCGCATCCGCCACGATCCACACGCCATCCACCAGCGAACGCACCCCCGACCCCCACAGGAGCAGTTGCCGCCCGACTCTTGGTCGGCTCCGTATCTGGGACGGCAGCTGGAGGAGCAGCCGTTCGCCTCGGGCGAGCCCAAGGCGCAGTACCCAGCTGTCATCCCATCCGAGGAGGCCCCGGCCTTGTTTCCAGAGCCCTGGCCGGCGACTGCAACCTTCAGCGTATTCGCTACTCAGAGTAGCGAGCAGTGGCGGGCGGGTCCAAGGGTACAGTACCCGGCTGTCATCCCATCCGAGGATGCCCCAGCCTACTTCCCGGAGCCCCGGCCAGCTGTTCCATCGGAGGGCTTCATTCAGGTAGAAGGCGCCGTTCAGGAGCGAGAGCCGCGGGTTTTGTTGGAGGAGGTCTCGCCGGTCCCCATACTCGAACCCTCGCCGGAGCCGTCGCCTGCGCCGGACCAGTGCCTGGAGCCGGACCTTCCCAACCCCATCGACATAATGGCGGCCGCGGTCGCCGCCAGCCTCTCCGGAGTCGTTGCTTTCTACCGCGTCGCTGTGCTCTTTGCCTATTCGTAGCGGCCGAGTAGATGCAGGAGAGAGGCCCTACGACACAGCCTCGTTCGATGGCTGCTTGGGCGAGGCTCACCCACGACGCGTGCCCTGCAGGGGCCTCACATCTCTCGTGACTGGCGAGTGGACGACGTCTATGGTCTCGGCCCTCGCCGTCTATCTCATCCTCATCCTTTTTTGGGCGCTCCACCCACACCACCCATGCCGACGATGGGGACGCCTCGGCGCACTCCCGGCTCAAAAGTGAATAGGCGAACCTCCATCTGCTCTGCTGGACAATAAACCCGTATCACGCCGCCACGCCGTCCCTCGCCCAAGAGAACGTGATCGACCTCCACGGCTGCGAGGAGCCGGGGCCCATCTACCAGGTGATCCTGATCGGCTACTTTCAGGCCGTCTTCGACTCGCTGCTCATCGGCACCGGCCTCGGTTTTGCCGAGCGGCTCCCGATCACGTGGGAGGCGTCCATCGTCTACTTTCTTCAGGTCCTCCTCCTCACCTTTCTGGGAAACTACTTTCTTCTCGGTTCCATGGCCCTCTCCGCCTTTAGCAAGGGCGCCGAGGCGACGCTTGACGACGCGGGAGAGGCGCAGAGAGGGCGTGCCGTCACCTGGTGGTCTGTGAGTAGGTGGTGATCGACGCTGTGACCGAGTCGTACGAAGCGGCCGCCGTGAACTCCAACAACGCGGCGTGGGCGTTTTGGGAGGGCGGCGGCGGCGGCGGAGAGGGCGCCGGAGCGGATGGGCTGGCCCGCGGCCGCGGCATGAGGCTTGGCCGGCCTCCCACTGCCTCGAAGATGACGCAGACGTGCTATGATCCTCGGCCGCCCGCGGAGAGGAGAGCGGGCGAAGCCCGCGGTGTGGAGCAGGCGCAGTCGACGAGGCGGGCGGAGGCTGGGAGGGAGCGAGGGAGCGGCAGCCTCAAGAGAGAGGCGAAGCACCTGATGTAGGGCGTTCGAGATCCCTCCATCCCTTGTGGGGCGCGTAGGTTGGGTGTGAGTTTTTCTGAACGTCGGCCGGGAGATACGAGCCCTCCTCGCACTTGGATTGCGATGTGGTGCCCCGGCACAACGAGCGTGTGTGAGAGAGTGAGGGGATGGTGTCGCCCGGTCGGCGCGGCTCTCGCGAGAGTTGTGGAGATGGATCGCGCCGCGAAACACAAAGTCGCCTCGCCTAAATTATTTTTCCGTTCTTATTTCCCTCGCACACAACACAAAGGTGTTAGATTTCTTTGCTATTGAAACGGTACGCACGCGCAACGACGCTTACCATCCCTGGCGTACTGAAACAGGTTATGCGCGTCTGGCGGTGGTTCGAATCTTCCACACGTGAGCCGAAGCGTGAACGCGTTGAGGGCCTTGAGGTCTGAAGCTCACCCGTTGAGGAAGCGAGGAACTGCTCGACCCACCCGGATCGTGCTGAACAAGCTCCTCTTGTAGCTCGATCGGTCACACCACCATCACCGCCGACGAGCGACGTCTCCCTGTCAGATGATGGAGAGGGGGCGACACTGCTTCCGGAACGTGCACCTCGATCCTGTACCGTGTTTGTTATGACCCCCCCCAATGAGCACGCCAGTGAGGGAGGGCGAGACGATCGAGGGGTCCCGTACCATGCGGAATCGACCTTAGTGCAACACTGGGCGTGTTTCTTAAATTTCCCAACGTAACAACTTCATGAGGAAGATGAGGACCGGCGCCCAGTTGTCGAGCGCCCTTGCCGGCCGCTTCCTGTCCCGCCGCTGCTACATCTCTGGAGGGTGGCAGGCGGCCGCGCTCCAGCGTGTGCACTGGGGTGCTGCGGCCTCAGCGCTCGCCGAGGAGGTGGCCGCACTCGGTGCTTCCCGAGCGTTCATCATCGCTTCGCAGGCGGCCACGGCCACTCACGTCTGGCCCAGCTGCTCACCACTACTCCCGGCCCTCCTCGCCAATAGACGCTGCGAAGCCGCACCTGACAGTCGCCAGCGACTGGCAACCGCTCACCCCTACTCCCGGCACTCCTCGCCAACAGACGCTGCGAAGCGGCACCGACGAGATTGCCAAGTGCGAGGCTGCGCTCGGCGCCAACCACGCAGGCACCTGGAGCGGCATGCGCGGTGAGTGTAGTGATGTAGCGATGGTGAGGGTCTCTGGTGACCCTATACAGCCGTGATCCGTCTCCTGACAGGTCACACCCCGCGAGAGGACGTCCTCTCCGCCGCCGCCGCGGCCAGGGAGGCAGGCGCCGACCTGCTCGTCTCCATCGGAGGAGGCTCGGTCACCGACGGTACCAAGGCGGTCAACCTCTGCCTCGACCGAGACGTGCGCACCGTGGCCGGGCTCGACCGCTACGTGGGCCAGGACGTGTTTGGGCCCGACGAGTATGCGATGGGCGGCGGCGTGCGGCACGTCGCCGTGCCAACCACGCTCAGCGCCGGCGAGTTCACGCGGATTGTGGGCGTGACCAACAAGGCGACGGAGCACAAGGAGCTCTTTGCCCATACGCAGATCCAGCCCTGCTCGGTCATCTTTGACCCCGAGCTCAGCCTGCACACGCCCGAGTGGCTGTGGCTTTCGACGGGCATCCGCTCGGTGGACCACGCCACCGAGGCGCTCTGCAGCATCAACGCCAACCCATACAGCTCCTCTGTCGCCGCGGCGGCGCTGCGGCTCCTCGCCGCCGCCCTCCCCAAGACCAAGGCCAACCCGCGCGACCTCCAGGCGCGGCTCGAGTGCCAGATCGGCTGCTGGCAGGCGGTCTCGACGGTGATGATGGGAGTGCACTACGGCGCGTCGCACGCCATCGGCCACGTGCTCGGCGGGACGGCGGACGTGCCTCACGGCTACACGAGCTGCATCAACCTGCCGTACGTGCTGCAGTACAACGCAGAGGCGATCCCCGGCCAGTGCAGGGCGGTGGCCGATGCCCTCGGCGCGGGGCCGGGCGAGACGGCGGCTGAGGCGATGGACGCGCTGATTCGCGGCCTCGGCATGCCGCGCACGCTCTCGGACGTCGACTTTCCGGAGGGTCGCTTCGAGCAGGTGTGCGAGCTCTCGATGAAGGACCCGTGGACGCTTACGAACCCGCGGCCGATCACCTCCCCGGACGACGTGCGGGTCATCCTCGAGATGGCGAGGGACGGCGTGCCGAACTCGAGCCGCATGGCGCAGTTGCGCGGCTAACTAGGGGCGGGGGTAGAAGGAGCCAGCGTGTCGCCGCGCACATAGGAGCGCGGGCAGAAAGCGCGGAGGATGGTGCAGCGTTGTGGCTAGCTTTGTTGCCCGGGTGTGAATAGTGCGTGTGTGTTGTGGTCATGACAGTGCGGAGTCCATGTCGTCCATGTTGGAGAGAATCTGAGAGACGTGCATGTTGTGAGATGTGTTTGCTGTTCGCGGAGCGCGCGTGGTTTGCAGCGCCGCAGCTTCGACGTAGCGGGGGAAACGGAAATCGCGGGGAGGCCGGACACTATATAGGCCGGACAGAGCGTATATAGAGAGAGAAAAGACCGGTGGACGAGACCGCTGGCGCGTCGCGCTGCGCGCTCCTCCCGTGACCCGCCGTGTGAGGTGTGTGTACGCCACGGCCCGCGGGCCCGCCCCCCCATATGCAGCCCCTCCGCTCTGTTTTTTGTAGTCTACGTAATACGGCCCACGTCTGGCCGGCGGGACGAGCGGCGAGGGTCTTTGCCTCGCGCGCGCTATCCGCTTTCCTACCCGGTACCCGCGCCGCGACACCCACGCGCCCCGGCTTTGCTCGGTAGAAGGCTGCGCAAGCTCCGTCTCCTCCTCACGCGCCGCCGCTGCTCGCCACCAGCCCCTTCCACTTGGAGACCAAACCCCGCGCCTGCGCCTCGAGCGCCGGGTGCGCCTATTCACAGTGCCAGACGTGGAGCAGAAGCGCCGCGCTGACGCCGTTCTTCCGATCGCGCCTTCTTGATCGCGCTGACCGCCTTGCCCGCCCCCGTCGACGAGAGAAGCCCTATGCTCATCGGCGCGCCCGAGAGGCCGTCGAGCGCAGCGGCGACCGCCGTCTCGTCTGCAGCCTCGCTCGCCGCCCGCAGCTGCTCCACCAGCGACTGCACCTCGCTCGCCGCCGTGTCGGGCGTGCCGCCAGACGCGGAAGGCGCGGCGGAGGGCGCGGCGGCGGAGGGCGCGGCGGCGGAGGGCGCGGCGGCGGAGGGCGCGGCGGAGGGCGCGGCGGACGGCGAATCGGCGAGCTTCTTGAGCCGCTTCGGCTTTGGGTCCTGCGGCGGCTTTGGGTCCGGCGCCTCTTTGGCCGCCTTGGCCGCCTCCTTGCCGCGCTCCTTGCCGCGCTCCTTGCCGCTCTCCTTGCCGCTGTCCTTGCCGCTCTGCTCGCGCGGCGGCCGCTTGGTCGCCTCGCCGTGCTTGGCGAGGTACTTCTGCACGCGGCCGCGCGCCGCCTCGAGCTCCTCCTGGATGGCGGCCGCCTCCTTGCGCTCGATGCCCTCGAGCTGGTCGATCTGCGCGAGGAGAGCGCTGTCGTCCGCCTCCTGCGCGGCCGCCCGCTTGGCGCCGAGCTTGGAGAGGGTCTTGATGTTCTTGGCCTCTCGCCGCTTCGCCTCCTCGAGCTTGCCGTTCGCCTGACCGCTAGGGCGCCGCTCTCAGCCAAGTCCCGCAGAGATCCCCCCCCCCCCCCCCCCTCTCCGGCCACCAGCCGCGCGCCTTCTCGAGCTTGGCCTTGATCGCCTCGATCGCAGCGACCTCCTCCTTGCTGCGCCGGCGCGGCGCCGAACGCGAGCGGCCGCTCTGGCCACGCTTCTCGGCGCGCTCCTTGGCCCGCGCCTGCGCCACCGTGTCGCCGTGCTCCTCGTTGTACACCTTGAGCTCTGCCTCGAAGCGAACCTACCGGCAGCCAGCGTGAAGGGGTGTGGCGCCCGCCCCGAGAAGCGCCCGACCGGCCGCCTCACGCCGCGCCTTCTCCGCCGCAGCCTTGTCGGCCCACGACGCCTTCTCCTCGTCGCCCATCGCCCGCCAGCGCTCGCCCAGCGCCTTGCCGAGCTCCGCGACGGAGGCGCCGCCGAGCTCCTCTCGCACCTCGGGCCTATATCCGGCGCTCGAGCCGGTCTCACCCGCGGGCCCGTCCCTCCCCCTCTCCCCTCTGCGGGCCGCGCCTCGTCGCTTGCGAGAAGAGCATGTACGCGGAGAGCGCCTACGGGGCGGCCCCGGCCAGGCTGGGTGCGACGGCCCGCGACCCGACGGCGGTGGGCCGTGCTCGCGGCGCCGGCTTGGGCTCGCCCTCCGCGCGTCGCTTGCGCGCCGGCGCCGTGCCGCCCCCCGCGCCGCCGCTGCGCCGCCGCTTCTTTGGCGCGGGACGCTTCTGGCTGATGACGCCGTACTCCTCCTCGCCCTCATCCTCGCCCTCGCCCGCGTCAAAGTCTTCGTCTGCGGCGGCGTCCGCTTCGCCCGCGTCCCCGCCCTCCTCGTCGTCGTCGTCGTCGTCGTCGTCGCCCTCGTCGCCCTCGTCGCCGCCCTCCTCCCCGCCGCCCTCCTCCTCCTCCTCCTCCTGCGCCGGCTCCCGCAGCGCCGCCTCCGCCCGGCCCACCGCCGACAGGTAGCCCTCGCGCAGCTTGGAGCCCGTCGACTGCGACGGCGCCTCGCGCCAGCCCTTGCCGCACCCGACCTCCCAGCTCTCGAGCGCGGCGGCGGGGCACACGAGCAGGTCGTCCGAGAAGAAGAACTTGACGAGCCACGCCTCGCCGCCCGCGTCGCGCTCTTTTCGCACCTGCCGCTCCAGCGCCGAGCCTTGCCTCGGCTTCACCACCCGCCCCGGCCAGTAAGGGTAGCCGGACATCTTGGCCCAGACGACCTGCCCGAGCGCGAAGCTCACGGCGGCCTTGCGCTCTTCGGTGATGCGCGCCATAGCCTCGTCGACGGCGGTGCCAATGTACTTTTTGAAGGGCTTGAGCGGCGCGTCGGAGCCCGCCGGCAGCAGCTCGGCCTCGAGCATGCGCAAGACGATCTTGATGGTGATGGTCTCCCAGCTCTCGCGACGCAGCAGCCGGTCGATGGCCGCCTCGACGACCTCGTCCGTCAGCGGCTCGGGCCATGCGATGTCCTCTGGCATTGCTGCGTCCGGAGAGAGGCTGCCGAATGTGGGGTGCACGCGCAAGAAATACAGCGCCACGTCCCCCTTCATTGCAGGGCGACATGACGCGTGAGGGAGACGCGTGAGGGAGAGAGAGACGTAACGAGTGTCGCCGTGCACGTTTTCTCATTTTCACCCACGGCTGCTAGTCTCGTCTCCCACGGCTGCTAGTCTGTCTTCATACAGAGCCACCGCACAACCACACACACGTATGGCGGCCTTCTCTCTCTCCGACGTCCGCTTCGCGTACGCGACCACCTCTCCCGCCGTGCTGTCCAACGTCACGCTCGAGGTCGCGCCGCGCTCGCGCGTCGTGCTCGTGGGAGCCAACGGCGCCGGCAAGTCGACGCTGCTGCGTCTAGTCGCGGGCCGTCGCCGTGCGAGCGGCGGTTCCGCGCGCACGCTGGGCGGCGACGCCTTTGAGTGCACCACCAACGCGCTCCGCGTCAACCTCGTCACCGCCGACTGGGAGTCGGACCTCACGCTGCCCGTCTCCCGGCTCGTCGCTGGCGCCGTGAGGGCGAGCGGCGCCTCGGTGCCGCGCGTCTCGCGTCTGATCGAGGCGCTCGGAGTGGAGGAGCTGCTGGAGAAGGAGCTCCACTCCCTCTCGGACGGGCAGCAGCGCCGCGTGCAGCTCTTCTGCAAGCTGCTGCCCGAGCGTGATCTCGTGCTGCTCGACGAGGCACGCCCAGAGAGACGAGAGAGACGCCTGCGAGAGAGAGGGCGTGTTTTGCCACGCCCCGCGAGCCTCCCACGCTCCACCCCCAGGCGACCAACTCGCTCGACGTCCTCTCCCGCGCCGCGCTGCTCTCCTTCCTGCGCGAGGAGAGCGAGGGTCGAGGTGTGGGCCCGCCTCGGCCAAGAGGCGCGCGTGCTGGAGGCCTGCTCTTGCAGCGCTTTCTTCCCGCCCCGCCGCTCAGGCGCGACGGTCGTCTTCGCGACGCACATCTTTGACGGCTTGGACGGCTGGGCCACGGATCTCGTCCATCTCGACGGCGGCATGCTGCTTCGCCACTTGCCAGCCGCCTCTCTCGCCCGCGCCTCGCTGCACGCCACGGTCTCGTCCTGGCTGCTCGAGCACGCAAAGGCGCGGAGCCAGACCAACCTCGCCGTTGCTCCACGCCTCGCACGTACCCGCCTCCCGCCCCCCTTCCCTCCTCCAGGAGCGGCGCCGTGCGGGTGACGCCGCGGGAAGGCGCACCACAGACGACCTCGCGCGCAGCCTCGTCGCGGCCGCCACGGCGGCCGTCAGCGAGGCGCACGCGGCGGCGGAGTGGTCTGCCGCGCTGAAGCGCTCTCGCCCCGCGCCGGCAGAGGATGCTGCGGTGGGGCCAATCGCTAGCGTGACTGTCGGAGGTGGCGGAGGCGGCGACGGCGGCGGCGACGGCGGCGGCGGCGGCGGCGGTGACGGCGGCGTCCCTCTGCCGCTGGGGTGGAAGAACCGGGTCGCCACGCTCAGCGAGGGCGGCTTTGGCAGCCACACGTGGGGCGGGTCTGGCGAGGGTGGCGCTGGAGAAGGCGGGGCGGGCGAGGGAGCAGACGGCGCGAGAGAAGGGCCGCCGGACCCTCCTGCTCTGCCGCCGGCGTCGCCGCCGCCGAGCAAGCCGGCGCTGCCGGACCCGCCGCCGCCACCAGCCTCCTCAGTGCGCGAGGCGTCGACCAAGGCGGCGTCTGCGATGCAACCCAAGGCGCCCCCGATGCCCGCCGCCGCCCAGCGTATCGCGCCCGTCCTCCAGGGGGCGCTCGGCGCGCTGAGTGCGCGAGTGGGCACTTGCTCCGCCGCCGTGGGCATCGGCGACGCGGCGGCGGCGGCGGCGGCCGCTGCCGAGATTGCAAGCATTTGGAAGCAGGCGCAGCAGGCACTACAGATGTTTGAGGCCGCTTGCGGCGCCCCTGTTGTTTGCACGTCTCGGGGCGGGGCGGGGGCCATGGCGGGGTCGGGTGGCGGTGGAGGCGGCAGCGGAGGAGGGCTGCCTGCCGGGTGGGGCGAGCGGCATAACACACTGCCAGAGGCTGAGCTAGTTCGGCGTGGCGCGATCCTTGCCGAGGAGGCGCCAGGGGGGGCGGTTTGAGAAGGGTGGGGGGGGGGATTACATGCTACGTGTAGCATGTTCATGCAGGCCGGTCGCTCCCCCACTGAGGTTGGGCAGTACGGGGTGTGGAGGGTGAGTTGAACAAGGGGTTGTGCGCCGGGCCCTCCTGCTCGGCTCCAGCCCCTGTTGATAGGTCCAGGTGATAGTCCTAGATGGGCAATGCATACGCCTCACTGGGCCTTAGATCGCCCGACCGCGTCCCGGTGCTCTGCCGTCGGATTTGTGACTCCGCCGCACCGCGCCGCGGCCGGGGGCCCTCCGGAGGCCGAGGATGGCCGTGACGGACCGGGACGAGCTCTGGGAGGTTCAGTGTCCGTGTATATATTGTAGAGACCAACCATGTCCACAATACCTTGACTGAGAGCTAAGCCAGGGGAGGCGATGCCGGGGCCGTACAGCAGCTTGATGCATGCCACCGAAGGGGCGCTGTCGAGGTTCGCCGAGCGCGGCGAAATCGGGGGACGCCGTCACCGACGAGCGCGTGGTGGTATTCACTCCGGACAAAGACGGCCGCACGCACACGAGCTGCGGCCGTGCGGCCGTCTTAGCGGCGAGGCGCGGGACCGTCTGTGGCGAAGTGGGTCGCGTCCCCCGATTTTGTTCAACCCAGCATCCACACCCTTTAGTACTTAGCCCAGTCGAACACCCCCCAAACAAATAAATTCCCCCTTCGAGCTGAGAGGTTTGGGATTTCGCTCCCGCGCAAAAGTGTCATCAACGATGGTGCCAACGGCCGAAAAAGCGCCAGTGAGCAAGGACGATGGAGGTGCGTCTTTCCCATGCTCGCGGTCGCGCGCCCCCCTGGGGTGGAGTTAGGGTTGTGTGGGGTGGAGTTAGGGTTGTGTGGGGTGGAGTTAGGGTTAGGGTTAGGGTTAGGGTTAGGGTTAGGGTTAGGGTTAGGGTTAGGGTCAGGGTTAGGGTTAGGGTTAGGGTTAGGGTTAGGGT